AACAAAAAAAAAAAAAAAAAGAAAGGAGAGAGAGGAGGAAGAAAAGAGGAAAAGAAAAAGGAAAGGAAAAAAAAGGAAAGGAAAAAAAAAAAAAAAAGAAAAAAAAAGTAGGGTGCAGGAAAGAAAGAAATGAAAAGTTCCAACAATTCAAATTTTCAGAAGTGGTTGTTATAAAGAAATTGGAGAGAAAAGAAAAGTTAACCAAACACCAACTTAAAGTATTTAATGTCACAATTTAATGAATAAATATATATATATATATATATATATATATATATATATATAAACTTTGAGGGGGTGTGGAGACAAAAAGGTGAAAAACACAAAAAAAACAATTTAAATAAATCAAGACATTATAAAGGTTTGTCAAATGACGAGAGGCACCATTATATATTAAATTCAAGTCAAATTTGCACTGGGAGCTTACTTCCCAGACAAAATGCCAACAATGTTACATTAATGTAAATTAGAGAATGTAAAGAAAAACAAGAGTGAATTAAAAAAAAAAAAAAAGCAAATATATTTTCTCTTGTACCTCCCCGCCTCCCTAATCATAAAAGATCAATGTAAGTTCTTTTTACAAGATTAAAGATATTTTGGGGACTTCATTTCAAAGTAGTATCATCCACTGCAAGCAGTAACTTTTTTTTTTCATCTTTTTCTAAATAATCACAAGATATTTTACAATGCAGTTTGCATTTATGAATCCAACCAAAATTCATCCTCCAATTGTGTATCTATTCTGATACAAGTTATATCCCTTCCCAAAACATCCTAAAAAAAAAAAAAAAAAAAAATATATATATATATATTTGATAATCTTACTTTTAACTGAGGAAAAGTGAAACCTATTAAGTTACTTAATTTTTTTCCAAATAGAAAGCTTTTAATTTTTGGAGTCAACAACTTAAAAAAAAAAAAAAAAAAAATATATATAAGATAATTAAATTTAGGTGCCAAGAATGATTTTATTACCATACAGCTTCTAGGAATGAAAGTGCTATGAAAATTTGAATTTAACTTTCAAAGATCAGTCACAGGATTCTAAGCATTTATTTCACTTCACTTCAGAATGAATATGCAACCTTTGACATATTTTTGGTTATAAAAGCAAAGCACATTCTGCACAGTTGAGATACAAAAAGTGTGTATGTATTGTAAACATATCAAATTTAAATAACATTTTCATCAAACACAGATTACTTGGCACTTACCAAACAACAGTGTACAATTTTAGCTGCACAGAGAGAGGATGTAATCTAGTTTTAGGTAGAGAATTACTGAAAGTGATTTTCAAAATGGAAAAAAATGAAACTTATAGGATAAACATTAAATTAAAAACACAGCTTTGGTACCATCATGAAAAAGAAACATTTAAAAAAATTTATATTGACAAAAATAAATACAGTAAGGATAGAAAAAATGTTTAAAGTAGTTATTTTTAGGTGACAAAAAAATGCCTGGAAATATTTAGATGCCAGATGTAACAGTTGACATTTTGCTTGAGGACTCTTCATGTGGGACATGAAGTAGCAGTCCAATGAAGGGCCTCGAGAGGAAGCAGCAGTTGCCATGTGCTGCACTGGGTACTTTAAGCTTATGACGAAAATAGCAAGGATCACTAAAAGCAGTGCTGAAACCAAGCCAGGCGAAATTTGCATAAGTCCAAGTACACATTAGTTAAGCAACACTTAGAAATGAAGTGAAATTTGAAATAAGAATAAAAGAAGCATTCAAACAAACAAAATAGGGGGGGAAAAAAAAAAGTTGTCTTCCCAGTACATAGATCCATCACCTATCATCAATGGAGTTACCAACCAATTATTTCAAAGATAAGGGAGATAACTGATTGCTTTTTTTTTCCTCCTCGCAAATACAAAATAAATATAATTATACAAATTTGAAGTAGAGTTTCTTTTTGTGAATGAGACATATAATAAAAATCATATTTGACCTCCATCCAAGCCAAGGTAAATAAAATAAAATCTACTGGATTAAACTTTAAAACTAATACTGATGTTTCTTTAAATTAAAACATTTGAAGGAAATATTGCAAATTATAATAGTCTACAATTTCTATAAAAAAAAAAAAAATCAATATTTTTATTAATTTAATAATTTACCATCTGACAAAGTTTACAGATAAAATTACATTTGAAATTTACACACACACACATATATATATATAAAGTTTCTTTTAAAGAAACTGGTTTCCTTCAACCCATAAAATACAAGGCAATTTTCTATTTCAGTTGTAAAAATAAAAAATTCTTTAAAGACTAAAAACTCTTGAAATTGTTTAGCCCTGATGTGGATTTCAAAAATTTTCATGAACCAGAGAAAAAGTATATTATAATAAAAAAAATCACCATCACAGGGATGCAAGCTCTGTGTATATTGGTCCCAAAATTTGTACTGTGCGTAGATCAAGGCATAGAAAGCCATATTTTTTTCCATTACAAAAGACAAGGCTTTAATATTTTCTTTTGTCATTTATAGAAAATTTTCATGTAAAGACATTTTTAAATAATTTCCCAATACAAATAAAAGACAAATATAAAAAAAAAATTTTTTGTAAATCATTCCACTTTGTTCCCAATTTCATTCAAGCTGAACAGAAAATGATTGAAAAAATATTTAATACAATTATAATGATTGATATTGATGCAAAAGAGTGTGGTAGATAGAGAGAGGACTACCAATTTATAATCCAAGTCAGAAGAATTTTCCCTTATTACATGCAAACACATTCAGAGACACCTCATCAAGTTAGCATTTTAAGGCAGAAATATGATCCAAGCCATACAGCAGTGTCCACATAATATAGGGAGCAGATTTTTGACAAATTGCTTGGAAATTAGATAGTTTTAATATTGCAGATATTGCAACACATTAGAAGTATTGTTGGCATTGAACATGAAAGATTTGCCCAAGTCTTAAATGACCACTTCAGCTAGATTCATAACCTCAACATTCTTTTATCAATATGGTTAGTAAAGTTTTAATAAAGTAAGAATTAGTAATGCAAATTTTAGTACAAGCATAGTCTAAATTGCTTTCTAGAAAAATTATTAAAACCAAGTACAATAAAATCTATATTTTGGGAGAATTTGAATTCTAACTAAAATTTAAAATTAGAAATTAGAGAATTTTGATTAATAATCATAAAAAAAAGAATAACTTATGAAAAGCTGTCATTTTCAATAATTTAAAAAAGACAAAATCTAATTATATTCTGTCAGCAATCTGACAATTTTACTGATTAAAAAAACAAACAAACAAACAAAATAAAAAACCAACAAAAATAAAAAAAGCTGTAAAAAGGCACAACTGGCCTCAAAATAACACACTCCCTCACTTCAATGTAGCCTTTTCTTCAAGACTTACATTTAGGAAAGGAAAAAGGTTGAATGAAATTGAGAAATACTTTTTACTATTTCTTTTAAAATACTTTGCAGCAACAAAAAAAAAACTTAGGATTGTTTGTATAGTCATTTGTGTTTTGCTTTTGGTTTGTAGCAGTAGAAATCCATCAGTTGGCTCCAATGACAAACATACAGTAACAACATTTCTTAGATAACATGTTGATGGGAGAGAGGTGGGGAAAATTACAAATCTCATGGGCTTTGGAAAAGACAATTTGTCTTAAAAATAAATACCAAAAGAAACTGGAAAGCAAAGGATTATAAAAAGAAAATAAATTGTCAAAATACACAAATGAATTTTTACACAAAATGTCAGAGAATTAACTCTGAAGATAACAAAAACTTCAAGATGAAAGAAAATGGCATCCATGCATTAAAGTTATGCAGGCAGTTTATTTTATACAAACTTAATTCTATAGATCAATGTTTATATACAGTGGGGAGGAGTTATCTTGTTTGGTTGGGAGAGGTATTTGAGGAGGGGGGTAATTGGAGGGGAGGAAGTTGAGGGGGACAAATTTTTGGTGGGAAGGAGTTTTAAAAAGGGAATTAGAGGGCAAAGGATTTTGGAGGAGATGGAGAGAGATTGAATAAAAATGATCCTATTAGAGTCAGCCATTTTTCTGAACTTGCCACAAACTAACACAAAGTGCAATATACATGCGTGCATACACACTATATATATATACACGCACACAGTGAATCTCATATATATATCACAAATGAGAATTGTTGTGTGTATGTATAGAAAGGAAGGTAGAAATTGGTGGAGGGGGGGGAGTAAACCAAGTGTGTGTGGGCAGCTGTTCCAACAAACCGGTTATTTCCATATTTTGCATTTGTCAATTTGTGGTAATTATTTTGAAAGTTCTTCTTCATCTCTTTATTTACTGTTTTCTGGAGCCCAAGCCACAGAGGCGGATATGGCAGAGAGGGACGATTAAGATATATTTGATATTTCTGTAGCAAATTCAACCCCCACGACAAATAGATAATTGTAAACTATACAATATCAAGAGAATGGTCGGATGTAATGATTTTGATGCAAAAAGGAGAAAAGATTCTTGTAGAGATGGGGTGGGGAAAGAACCTATACAGAAATGTGGGAGCAGGTGGAGGATATTTCAATTATCAATGAAAATATATATACATATATATATATATATATATATATATATAGCTTGATTTTTATCATTGATGCAGAACTGATATTTATACAGGTATGTGATTTTTTTTTTTTTTTCATTATGGCCTAAGAACATTTAATAATGGCAATGCAGTTTCTGCAAATTTCCTCTGCTACAAAAGGCAGACATAAAAATGGCCCCAAAAAACATCACATTATGCCAGTGTGCGCATGCATATGTTATAATCATGCATGTATGTATATACTAACACCTGTTCATATACATAAATGAACACACACACACGCACATACAAAGATACAAGTTAGAAAGATATATATGCTTATATGTAATATAAACGTATCTTTCTTGGTTTTCTTCATGTCTTTTTCACATAATGGGGTGGGAGGGACTTTGATTGTATGATCCTTCAATCAAGTTTTGAAGGTTTTCATTCTAATTTGGGCGACAGGCGTCCATGCTCTAATGCCAGCTCACAGCTGCGGCGACGTAAGCAATGCTGAGAGTTTTCAAATTCCCTTTGAGTGTTTGCAGTGTTGACCGTGACTGTTACCCTGCCGTCACCTATAGAGATGTCAGATTTGTCAGAGAGTGCACAACTGTTTAAATTGCTCCGGGCATTCATCAGAGAAAGGGGTTTCGATGCAGCCAGTGAACACAAGGGGCTGCCACTTTCCACTTCACTTAGTCCAGGCAGACTCTTGCCACTGACAGTCGCAGAGCAGCCGATACTCTCAATTGAAGAACCTTTGCATTGTGTGTTAACCAAGGGTAAACTCATTGCATGTTCCTGTGACCGGTTAGACTTCTTTAGTTCTGTGCCTTCAACACTTTTGCTGTCCAGTTCATTGCTGCGACTGGACAAATGTTCGTGAATCTTCTCTTCAATACTCAGCCGTATGTTCTTGCGGTATTTTGTGTAGTTGTTCTTGATGACGTCATCACCTGAGAAACTGCCACTGCGTCCTGAAATGGGTGACCACTGAGTTGGAGATGCCACCTGGTTACACTTCAGTTCTGCACTAATGCTGCTTCCACTGTTGTTGCACCATCGGTTGGACATGGTTTCTGCTTGAACTTCTAAAGATGGAGATGTGGCAGAGATGCTGTCTTTGTCTCTTTTGAGAAGAAAAAAAAAAAAAAAAAAAAAAGAAAAACGGGTGTGATCAAAATGTTTGGGGCCAAAAACTAATGAAAACAGTTTGATACATATAATAATATAGGTGCTTCTACTAATTTGGTATAAGTTTAAAATGAATTTTTAAAAACGAAAAAGCTTTCCTGAAGCTTTCATTTTAGCTTTAAAATTTACTATTTCCAGTAAGCAAAATACTGTCATGTATTTCAAACAAATTATATTGATCAGAATCAATTTTTTTCTCAATAAAATTGATAAAAACAGCCATTTTTGACACTTTTGTAAACAAAAGTTAATTTTGTTTTAAAAATCTTGCAAAAATAAAATGAGACAGAGGCAGGCAGGCACGCACGCAGACAGAGGCAGGCACGCATGCAGACAGTTCCATCTTTTACCTGTATCCTGCAATAGATCCAGCTAGTGTTTTGGTGCTGGCATCATCTCCATATGACACAGTTGCAGATTTCTCTCCAATACTAAAGTTGGCAGATTCACTACTTAGACTGGCTCTCTTTCGAAGAGGTGGATTGGCTGATACATCTGCTTGAACCTCCAATCTAAAAATAAGTTTATTAAAAAAAAAATATAAATAAAAAAAAAAAAAATTTTTGTTCATTTGAAAATCCTTTTTTCTTAGAAGCATTAAGTCTATTTTTAATAAAGCTCAGATTTTCACATTATGTTTTCAGAGAAAACTATTTAAATATCTGTTCAGCAGTTTGGTATCATACTTCTAAATACTTAGATGTGGTTGGAAACTTTTACAATCTAGTCAAACCCAGTTTCAGGTATCAATTTCATTGATTGACGGAAGTGGAGAGGAGCGATAAAGAAAAAAATGTGCAAGTAATAATGGTTATTGATGTGAAAAGAATTGGTAAGCCATGTTCAAATAGCTGTAGTCTATTGCATTCATTTTTGCAATAATGCCATTCAGAAAGACATTAATCCATGCCTTCTACCTATCCCACCTCTCCGGCTAGAATAATAGTAGAACATCTTTGGTGACAATTCTGAATTCAAAACTATACAGAAGGTAACAGGAAACCACTCCACTATCCTGACCAAAATGTCATGCTAATTCACAAATATTAAAGAAGCTGTGGAGAGCCATGATTGTAATGACCACAGTATGCATTAATAGGCTTATAAACTTTGCTACTTAGTAGTAGTATGGTAGCAGCAGCAAGTGTTAAAATTATGAGGATAATTTTTAATATTTCATATATGTGTGAAAATATATAGAAAATAGGAAGGAACTGGTTAGGTAAATAATCCAAAGTCCCTTAGTATTTTAGTTATTATTTTTAAAAAATAGGGCTCGATACAAAAGTAGAGCATAAATATAATTATTTGTTTAGAAATATGATTCCAAATCGCGACATAAGTCCCATGTTTCAAAACAAGAGCCGAAAATTTAAATTATATTGAAGTTGAGTTAAAATAAGCTCTGTTCCATCTTCAAGCGAAAAAAAAATTTCGCTCGAAGATGGAACAGAGCTTATTTTAACTCAATTTAATTTAAATAATTATATTGAAGTTTTCGGCTCTTGCTTTGAAACATGTCGCGATTTGGAATCATTTTTTAAATAAATAATTATATATATATATATATATATATATATATATATATATATATGTGTGTGTGTTTAGCTATAATTTCTGCTACCACATGACTCCTTACAACATGGCAATTATCTGCCTCCTATTACTAAGTATGAAATTCTCAAAGATACTGAGTGTCCCTTTATCATTTCTTTGAGTTTGTTTCAAATTTTTGTTTCCATTTGAAAAGTGTTTTCCTTGTTTCATTGAAATGCATTTTGTTTGTTTGTCCATTTCCCTTTTGAGAGATTCGTTGTTTCTTAAATAAAAGGATAACATCAGTACAAGGCACGGACCTTATTTCATTGAGACCAGAAGTCTGTTACAATGTCTACTTACAACTTGAAGACACATTTAAGAGAAAAAAAAAAAAAAAAAGTGATAAAAAGGTTAAGAGCATTGTATCAAGATGATAATGCTGTAATGGGATTCATTCCAAATTATAATAGACCATTATGTTCTTCACAGCTATGTCAAGAGAAGTGAGCCAGTATTACTGAGTGATTGTTGGGAACACCATAACATTAAAAGGATTTAATGAACAAATGAGCAAAGTAATCCTTCGTTAAAACTGGACAACAGTTCTAATTAAGAGAGACAAAAGAACTGCTTTCACAACTACCAGCTTAAAAACAACAAAAAACACTATAAAAGAAAAAAAAAACAAACAAAGCACAGCATGACATTTTAGTTTGGGTAATAAATGTTTTGTAGGCATTAGAATTGTTTACATTTTCTTGACACCTTCAAATTTTGCAACCTTGAATTAGAACGTGTAAGCAACAAATAAAATCTCATTTTGGTTTAGTGTCATATTTCTTTACCAAAGCATCAAAAGCTGCAATACTCTGGACAACAATTTCCTGTTTTATACAAAGTCAAATAAATGAAACAATGAAATTCATTTTAAGAGGATGTATTTTTTTAAAATAATTAAATTGAATTATTTGACAAAGTTAAATGCCAAACATTTTTCTTGAGTGGTCAAATAGAGAAATAGCAAGGCAGTAAATAATTTTTGGTTATATTAAAAATGATGCTACCAAAATATTTTTTGTAAGAATAAAAAATGTGGGAACTAAATGAAAATGTTTTTTTAGATTTAAGAGAATAAGAACAGATTCCAATTTTACAAGACTTAAATAAAAATTTTAAAATAATTAAGCTGTAAAAGTTAAAAGTGGATAATCTTTTTGTTAGTGTTTTACATGACACAAATGCAAAGCACACAAATAAAAAAAAACAAAAAAAACAAAAAAACAAAAAAAAAAAAGAATTATTTCAAATTTTATAACTCTTATAAAATAGTAGTAGTTTGAACTTGGTCTTACTTATTGTGATAGCCACCTGCTTCCATAAGGCTGCCATTCAAACTGGACTCTGTGGTGGCTCGGTGACTTGCAGAATCCCTGTCACTTTCATCCCTCAGGATTCCCATTCGGTCAATATGACTGCCACTAGCACTGAGACTGTTAGTCATTGCAACAGAAGCTTCACCAATGCTAGGAGCAATACTTGGATTGGCCACATGGTTCACTGTTTCTGCAGCTGCGTTATCAGCTAGAAAAGAAACATTTTTCAAAACTTATTTTTTAACAATGGTCTTACCACTTGATAAACTATGAGATTCACTCATTTTTAGTTAATGATTCCAAAAAATTCAGTTATATTGATCATGAATTGATTATAAACATTGAACGAGAAAGATTAAAACTTTTACCAATATTATCCAAGTTAACTATTTTGCCTAATTCCAAAAGGTCAAAAAGCAACATAGTAAGAATCAAATAAAGCTACATTTTAAAAACAAGATGTTATAACCACTCTTTAAAAAGTTAATTTAGTTATAAAGCAAAAAGCAACAATGTTAAAATGTCTGAATATCCAATATACATAAAAAAAATAAAAAAAAAAAAAAAAAAAAAAAAATAAATAAAAAAAAAAAAAAAAAAAAAGCAAAAGAAAAAAATTAATAAAATAAAGCAAAATCAGAAACAGCACTCACTCGTGTATGGGCCTGAAGATCCAACAGTAGCTTCATTTTCATCAAATTCAAAGCGGACACCAGTATTGGTTGTGGTCACACCACAGCCACCACTACGACACAATGAAATGGGAACAACTCCATAAACGTAAGCCAACAAAATGGGCACTCCAATACCTAAGAAAAATAAATAGTTAATAGTTTCTTTAAGAAATTCAGTAAATTATTAAAAGCCTACATTCATGGAACTAACTGGAATAAGATGTCCATCTTGCTTTTTATTTATTAATGTTAAACAAAATATGCTTGAATTAACATTGAGAAGACAAGAAAGTATCACCCCCCCCGCCATGATGTCATAGCAATTCACATATAAAAAGAAAAGGAATCTGAAGAGACATGATCATTTATATCTCCATAGAAGACAACATATCTACAGGCCATAATTTGTGGTATTCAGATGTAGAGAATCTGGTGATAAGTTACAAATGACAACAACATCAGTGAGTTGATCCTCCACCACACAATGCTAATTAAGAGTTATCACTCGATTTAAAAAAAAAAAAAAAAAGAAAAAAAAAGAAGATCCCAGATCATGGTTATATTTGACTAATTTAACAGCTGCAAAACGTTGGAATAAAAGGTTCCAGGAAATTTCAATACTGGTCAGCAAATTAGAGGAGGAAAAAAACAAAAACAAAAAAAAACTACTTTGTTTTGTTTGTCCTCCAAATATTTCTGTTGTAGTAAATGTAAAGAATGTCAGATGCAGCATCAATATAGAAAAATTTACTCTAGATAAAGTTTAAATCAATTACCTATGAGATAATCATCAAATAAAATTAGGAGCCTTTTTATTAATAAGACACCTACACATTTACAACCCAGCAATAAACTAATCTATGTAAAAAGCAAATGTAGACATCAATAAATAGATTTCAAATGCAGGTTGAAAGTAGCCCTATTTAAAGAAATATTACACTTTAATCCTAGACAAGTTAAAAAAAAAAAAAAAAAAAAAAAAAAATTACATTACTTAAAACACCTCTTCATAGTTAAATATTTTAATTATTTCAATGTTAAAAGTGCAAGAAAATTATTCAAATTCAACAAAGGGGACAGGGGGGGATCCTTGTTAACATCAAATACAAGCCCAAACCCATTTTGATCTGGTATTTTTGATTGCAATCATAAAATCTGCTAAGAATCAACATAGCTGAAACTGGCCATGCAAGTCTCAAAATGTGATAAGATTGGATTTTGGGATAGGTACAAGGAATCAAATATGAGTAAAATGGAGTCAATAAAAAGTAGAAACCACAAGTGGTCAATCAACCAAAATATGAATGTTTATAATTTCCACCTACCATTTTGAACATTAAAAAAATGTAATTTGACATTTTCAATCAAATCATATGGCAATCATGATTTACTCAACCAATTCACAGTTTAAAAACAGATTTTTTTTAAAACCAAATATGCAAATCTTTAGATAAATTCAAAATACCATCTGATAATGGCCAAATATGGCTTGAAATTTCAAAATTAGAAATATAGCCATAACAATCTTACAAAACATCAAACAATTATAAAATCTTTGGCAATTCATTTACAAATGTTAAGCCTTTTCAACAATATACAATGCCACTTGTTTGAGAATAAATCCAAGCAATGATATTTTCTCTAGTTTCATAAATGCAATTGGTATTTTCTTGTTAGTTCATCAGAATGTGAATCTACAAAGTGCACAGAAGTTTGCTAAGTCACAAGTAAATTTAAGCAGTTACACAGTAACTGAGCTACCACTCTTAAAATCTGTAATATTAAAGTGATTACATACACAAATGCATATATTATTTTTAAGATATGGTACAAAGATCTATTTGAACTGCTATGAAAACTTGATTTATTTGAGAAAGAATACAAAACATTTCTTGGGCACAAGCCATATGCATGCAGATAGATGTATTGAACAAATACACAAAAATAGAAAGGGGTATAAGACAATGACATGTCTTCTCACTGGATTTATTTAACCTTTCTAGCAAGGTGATCCCAAGAAAATCAGAAACCTACCAGGATTATTATTGGAGGTGGGTACAAACTTTAACTACAGATGACACAGTATTGATAGCAAACACAGAAAGGAAACTGCAGAAACATCTAGGAAAAGCAGTAAATAAATGAAAGAACTAAGCATCAAGAGAGAATATATGATTGTCAGCCAGGGAAACAGGCTAAGATGCAAGCTATGAATTGGAAACATTAGTATGAAGCAAATACAGAAACATAACTATCTGAAAATTATTATAATAGAAGACAGAAGATGTGACAGAAATCAGAGGGTGCATTGGAAGTTGCTTTCCAAAAAAGCTAAAAGTATTAAGAAACAAAAATTGTTAGAAACTAAGAAAAGAACACTGAACTGCAATATAATATCAATTCCTCTATATAGCAGTGATTGCTAGGCAATTTCTTCACAGATGAAGAGGAGACTTGAGGCAACAGAAGAATTCTGGGATTACCATGGACAAAAAATGTGAGCAACAAGGAAAATTGAAACAAAAAGTACATATTTAGATTCAGAAAGTGATAGCTGAAATTTCTGGGATATGTAATGAGAAAAAGGACTTGGAGAATTTGACACTCACAGGATATACAAAGGGGAAACATCAAGTAACAGACAAAGAATTTCTGTAAATGGATGGCAGAACAAGTACTAGAAAAAAATAGTAAGGAGAAAAACATTGCTTAGCGCTACAAAGGATAGGAAGTTGTGAAGAGCCATGATTGTTCACACCCTAAAGAAACAATAAATCAGTCATTTTAATAGTGAGTATGGGGCACATCAAAAATTAATACGAAGCATCAGTTTTGCAAAGCTCTGAATTGGATTGAAAACAATGATGGCATTGGGTCTGTGGTTGATAAGTCATTTTTCTGAAAACTGGGTTCATTAAAACTTAAATTGAATCTTCACTTCAAATAATTCACTTCACAGAAGAAAAAGTAAATAAAAGTAGAAGATTAAGAGGATATAACATGTTTGAATAGTGCTTCTAAATTATTTACTGTTTAAAAATTACTTGTTAATATGATTGTTGCTTATTTACAATAATAAATGATTGACAAGCCAGTTGGTTTGTTTAAGAGGATTATTTAATGTTGGAATAAGTTAAAACCAACAAATTGATTTTCTTTTTTTGAAAGCAACAAAAATAAAATATAAATAAGAATGATTAAAATATAAATATTGAAATAAAGATAGTAATATGAATTAATACAGAAAACTAAAAAAAATATTTAATTTATTTAAAACATATCTTGGATAAGACAAATATTTAAACAGGTTTAGTTTACATTTTTCTTTTTTTACTCATTTTTTAATATTCCAAGAATAAAAGCAACATATTAAGCAACATTAATGAAGACTTCAGAAAGGAATTTATAGAGGAAAAAGGTTTTCATTATCATGAATAGAAGTTTTTAAATAAGATATTTTTTTAAAAAACACTATTCAGATATAAAAAATTATCTTTAAATTTCCTAACTTTTGTTTCTTCATTGACATGAACCATTTAACAGTTTCAATGACTGAAGTTTTCAGTTTCATTGCTTCTCAATGTCATCTACCTTAAATCCATTATAAAAATTCAAGATGTGGAATTAGTAAATACTAAATACTTCAAGTAACTCAGTATAGGGATCAGTTAAAACAAATTTAGTATAGGAGATAAGGAAATTGAGCATAGAAGAAGCTGTGCGCTAGTTTTTCCTTCAAACAGCAAATTTTTACAAAACCAAAACATTAACCTAAAAATTCAAATCATGTTCTTAAATATCAGATTGACACTTTCATATGATTGTGATGCAAGGTGTCAAACTTGTTCAGAAATATCTAAACTGTCAGCTGCATACAACGGTTTTCTCAGATCAATAGTTAAAAATAGCTTAGAGCAAATGAAGCTGCAAGTTTTGGAAAGCTATGGTAATTGGCTAACAAATTAACCATAGAAATTAAAACAGAAAATAGACATTCTTAAAGCAGAAAAAAAAAAAAAAAGCTATAACGTAAGATAGACTGATCAACGTTAAAAGAAGGATTTTAATTTGTTTACAAAAAAAATAGAAAAAAAGAAACCTGCAGAGAGAGCTGTGTGTGAGGTGCTGTCAAGTTGATTTATTTATCTCCAAGGGAGATCGAAAGAAAGGCAAATATGGAATTATCGGCCAAAACACGTGCCGATACAGGCAGTGAGAATCAATGTTAATTATCTTTCCAAGATATCGTTTAATTTTTTTTTTTCTTGGATACCAGCAAAGAGAAGCAATGTGGCAATTATAAAATTTTGGCATTGTCTCAATATAGGCGAGAAGATTGTTATCATTTACTTTGCCAACAGACACTAAGACATCGAATGGCAATGCGGCAATTGTAAGCTTTTGGCAATCTCCAGAAAATAATGGAGAAATGAGATTTGATGAGATAAAAGGAATTTAATTCCTTAACAAGTCAAGGATTCCATGATAAAGTAACTTGGCGTAAAGAACCAGATGGCAAGCTTTGACAGTGATTAATGAGACAGTAAGAGTGCTGGATAAGTGACTTTTGGGTGACCCAGGATAAAGAGAACATGTGATAAAAAATTTAATTGGCAAAGAGAATTTTGTAAACAAAAATTATAGATTATAATCTTAAGGAGGCCAGCTTAGCCACACCCACACTGCCGAGAGATCATCGGTCATATGGTAGCATGGTGATAGGCAGAGGTGAATGGATGAGAAAGACGAAGATGTTAACGCCCACTGAAGAGATCGGTATGAGATATCAATGTGAGAGAGAGAGAGAGAGTCTAGGAGGATAGCTCTCCTCTGACTTTCCCTCATGAAATGGGAAGTGGTTAATTTTCCAAAAATGGGAAATAATCAATTTCCCTGTCCTGACAACAACAACAAAGATTTCTTGTTAGAAATAGAGATTACCCAAGAACCCCAGGCCGCGTCGGGCCTACACATCAGGTTTTGGTCGGTACCCATATAAACGGCCGTCAATGGGTCATTAAGCAGCAGTTGGAGTTGAGTATAGTTTGAGCTGGAAACACAGTTGAGCTGGTTTTGAACCAGGGTGTTGCCTTGCAGAAGTTGACCAAGAGATTCCATGACCTCCAATGCTACCAATAGCAAGTTATACTGACGAACTGAGTTAAGCCAGCACTTAAAAACTAAACCTAGAGGACCAACTTGCTTGAAACATAGAAGTGTCACATTTCATAGGAAACGGATTGGGAGAAAAACATGCCCCTGTATATAACAGAAGGATAAAGTCAAATTGTTATTTCTTAACATACTTGAACCTTTTGGGTTTTTCTTTCATTTATTTTTTTTCTTTGCACTTGTGCAATGTCATCTTCAATTTGGACTCAGCTGACACTACAGCCCGACACCTGATTGATCTTGTCTACCTAAGATCAAAGTCACAATGTGGGTAGGTTAGATTCGAGATCAAGGCAGTTACTCCAGTAACCAGATGTTGGAAGTGAGCTGGGAACAATAGAGTTGGCATTGAACTGGTACAACTGGTGAAGCCGTTAACATCGACAACGAGAACTCGACCCTGGTGCCACATATTGGTGCAGCAGTCACCACTGGATTCGACCCTGGATGGCTGAGTGTCACATATTGGTTCCTGACCAGGGGATTTCGCCGAGTAGCAACGACTGGGACACAGGCTGGAGGCAGCGACAAAGAGTCAACCCCAAAACGGCGGTAGAAGAAACCTTACAGCTTCGCGCCGCGACTGGGAGTTGACAACGGGCCGACAGCTTGGTGTCACAAAGGAACATTCTTCAAAATTCATGAATTGGCACTAGTTGGCACAACTGTTAGGAAGCTCTAATCAGTGCTGGAAAGAGCAATAGTAATTACAGGACTTAAGAAACTTATTTTCCTGAAAAATTCTTTTTATAGAAAGGTTTTTATAAATTTCAACCAAAAGTAGAACTGATCACTCCACCAATGACTGTGAAATGTTTCTTTATAAGGAAATGGTTAATATTACTATATGAATAAACAAGATTAGACATTGAACTAAAAATTATAATTAAAGTTTTAGAAAAATTGAAAAGACATCTGACAATTTATTTCTCCAGTGTAAGAAAAGTTTTATAAAAACCAAAAGATTTAGGGAATTTGCCATACCATGCTGAGTGTTGCTCATGTAAAAATTTAAACTGAAAAATATTCAGCTGAAGACCAGTTATATTGTTCTTGGATTTATGCCTCAAAGAATCTTTCAAAATTCTAAGCAATAAGAGGATGGCTGCATTCATAGTGGATTAGGATTTCCACACCTGCTGACAATTTCTCAAATTACTCCTAAGATTTTTTTTAACAACCATCCATGAACCAAATGTTCAATTGATATGAAAAGCAAATAAACTGCTAATGATTTGATACTGCTTTTGTAAATCAAACACTGAGCACATTACCATTAGCAACCACTTTACAACAGATAACAATCAAACAAGGAAATTTCTAACATCAATTGTATGCATAGGAAGTGTACACTTTAGGTGACAGCAGTAGCAAGCAATCATCGGCAAATAATGTGAGGAGGAGGCTGAAAAGATTTCAGCCCAACCTAGAAACCGTTGAAGGAAAATAAAAATAAAATAATGTTTGGTCATTTGTTCCAATTTTGGGCCGATCAGGCAGAAAACTTTTCTAAACACTCTTCTAATAAATGAATAGTATCACACCCATGTTGTTATAGGGGTGGGGTGAACACTTGGTTATAAAGTTTCAAAGGGAGAGTACAGAACTGAAGTTTGTCAATTTGACAATTCAGATCAGAAGAAAAAAAAAGACATTTCAAGAAATCTTATCTTGTTTTGTCTACATTGCAATCTGAAATGTATTATGACTTAGAAGACATCTGTCAATATTGGGAATACATTAGGAAGATTAGCTAATCCCTGTTGCAAACAACTGCTCAAGAACATGAGCTAGGATTTGGAGACACTTTCCAATGATTCCATATGCTGAAATTGTCTCCCCCAGACTAATATTATCAATTAGTAGACACCTTGATAAATCAACAATAGTGAGATTTGTACAATGGTCTCATGGTTAGAATACTGATATTGTAGCCATTTGGCCAATCTACTAATTACTTAATATTAAGTTAAGCAGATGACTATGTAACAGAGATATTCCATTTAATCAATTTTTCATACACGTTTAGACTGATGAAAGACCTTTTCTGTCACAAGAGTAGCAGTGGTGGTGGTAGGGGGCCAATACATGAAGGGGGCTATTTAGGTCAGAGTTATTTTTGTAAAGTTTGATAAAATAAAGATAGATTTTTTTTTTTTGCCTTTAATGAAATTTTCCAACTCCACACCAAGCTTTTTAAGACCACCTTTTTTATTAATTTGTTTCCCTTCCTTTTGGGGGCTCAAACAGGAAATAGCAATTATTATAGTTGGTTCAAGTTTTTACTTACATTCTTTTAGGATGGATTCAATTAAGTTGTATAAATAGGTTGTTTTTTTTTTTTTTTAGGTTTGATACCAACCTCATCCACAGACACCCAAATTTACATTCAAGTTATACAGTTCAATATTTGTGTTAGTATGCCCCCCCCCCATACTAAGTTGTGTTAGGATTTCTTCTAGATATGCTGCAAAATGTCATGAAGATGAGTTACTATAGTGGTTCTGAAATAAGTTTCACTTAAATTCTGAATTTAAGTGATTTTTGAACTACTTTTATTAAGACCTCCTGTTTATTGAATATTAAATATTCTGACTCCCTCCCCAATTATTAAGACACACCCCTTGTATTAGGCACCTAAGAATAAACAAACGCTTATCAGCCTAAAGAGTTTATAATCTCCATCTACCCTTTTGGGAGTTAAAAGGAAAAATTGTAATATGACATTTTTACCCATATCATATTGCAATCATGATTTACTCAACTAGTCCAAAGTTTAACCTTTCGCACCCTGTAGGTGACTATTTTCACTAAGCAAAATGTTAGTCCTGCCAATGCAATTTGAATTTCTTGGTTGCGTAATCATATCCTATGGTAGCGCCTAAAACAATCTTGACTGAAATTGAGAGCCAGGTTACTGTAATTTCAAATATATAGAACTAATATATAAATTACTATATTTTGAGGGGGTTTCATATACAGTAAAAGGGGAAGTAATATTTATAAATGATACAGAGTGCTAAATTTTAAAAATATAGAGATTTTTTTTTAAAAACAATGTGCATCTTTAGATAAACCAATATGAAATATCATCTGATAATGGCCAAATATGGTTTTAAATTTGAGAGTGAGAAAGAGCCATTGTAACAGGGCACTGGCCCCATTTAAATGCATGAAATTACAAAATGGTGATTTGGAGGGACTAATAATTGGATAATTATTAAAATTCTCGGGAGAGTAGGTTGAATGGTTGAAAAGAAATTAAACACAAAACATGCTAAAATTTATGTTTTAAAATAAAATAAAATTAAGAACAGTTCCAAGAAGAATTGAACCCAGAGTTAACTAGACAAGATTCAGTAAAATTGAGCAAAATCTAGATTCCCAATCCTATCCACTTCCTTTTGATAAGATGATTAATGTTGTCTGAATTTCTTGGGTTCTGGAGAAACTAGAATTTGGATGTTTTGTTTACACTATGCTATCCGTAGAAAATGTGTGGCCACAGAACAAAATGATCTAAGTTATTTTAGACAAAGAAACAAAACATCTGTCTTGTGTGAGGGCCCCAAGAATTGGGATTTATTTATGTTGATCATCTCTAGAATTTAGTTATCTTTACAGAAAAATATTTAGGAAGACTGAATATACAAAGGAAATACCATATGGCCAATTAACAAAATTGTCTAAGATGTGCCTTTTTCTGTGACAATTGTGTTCAATTTTTATAATTATCATTATTTGGGATTTCTGGTGAAGGATCTTTCACTGATAAGGTCAGCTGGTCAATTTATGGAATATGGAGATAATGAAATTTTGGCATTGTGAATTTTCTGGGTCCTGGCTGGGTAGAGCAAAGTCAATCATTGTTATTAGAAAAGATCTCCCTATATAAAGCCAGTACACATTTCACTTGGTAATCAAATTTATGTCTCAGTAGAGAAAAAGAAAGTACTTTAAATACTAAAGTGTTTAAGATTTTGAGTGAATATTTGTCCCTTTAGTTCCATCTGCAAATTTTGATAACCTTGCCAACAGGCGACATCATCAATAATACATTTGTTTCATGGGATTTGACACAAACAGTTTAATCAACTTCTAAGAGTTCTTTGAACATTATAAATTATGCTTCAAATTATTTGTATAAATTAATTTTGGAGGGCAAATGATAATGGCAATCAAATCTTCCTCTTCTCAAAAAGCTCATCTTGGATTCTCAACTGCTTTACTAATGCACACAATCCTTACCTACAGCGAGGCTGGCAATGACTGGAGAAAACAGCACCGAGGCAGCCACCCCTGTAACTATTGTGACATTACGTCTGTGTTTAGGAGTGTACTCATATTTAGAGTGTAACTGAAAGACAAAAAGGTATTATTGTAAATAAGCACCCATAAGGCACATTGAAAAAAAAAAAAAAAGCTTTATGAAAATTCTTTAGATTTTACTGACATTGAAATCAACATTAACAATAAATAACACCTTTGGTTTGGTTTGGTTTTATGGCATATGAAGCTCAATGGGTCATTTAGTGCCGACAAAATTTTATTGTTGGTAATTTTTTTTTTTTTTTTTTTAAATCTATTTCTGGTAAAATTTTTCATTCAAAAAATCTATTTCTGGTAAATTTTCATTCAAAAATCTATTTCTGGTAAAATTTTTCATTCAAAAAATCTATTTCTGGTAAAATTTTTCATTCAAAAAATCTATTTCTGGTAAAATTTTTCATTCAAAAAATCTATTTCTGGTAAAATTTTTCATTCAAAAAATCTATTTCTGGTAAAATTTTTCATTCAAAAAATCTATTTCTGGTAAAATTTTTCATTCAAAAAATCTATTTCTGGTAAAATTTTTCATTCAAAAAATCTATTTCTGGTAAAATTTTTCATTCAAAAAATCTATTTCTGGTAAAATTTTTCATTCAAAAATCTATTTCTGGTAAAATTTTTTCATTCAAAAAAATCTATTTCTGGTAAAATTTTCATTCAAAAAATTTTTCAAAATTTTCATTCAAAAATCTATTTCTGGTAAAATTTTTCATTCAAAAAATCTATTTCTGGTAAAATTTTTCAAAAAAATTTTCAAAAATTTTTTCATTCAAAAATCTATTTCTGGTAAAATTTTTCATTCAAAAAATCTATTTCTGGTAAAATTTTTCATTCAAAAAATCTATTTCTGGTAAAATTTTTCATTCAAAAAATCTATTTCTGGTAAAATTTTTCATTCAAAAAATCTATTTCTGGTAAAATTTTTCATTCAAAAATCTATTTCTGGTAAAATTTTTCATTCAAAAAATCTATTTCTGGTAAAATTTTTCATTCAAAAAATCTATTTCTGGTAAAATTTTTCATTCAAAAAAAATCTATTTCTGGTAAAATTTTTCATTCAAAAAATCTATTTCTGGTAAAATTTTTCATTCAAAAATTCAAATAACACCTTTGGGCAGACAAAGTAGTTGTAAGAGAATGAATTGCTCATGTCTTCACTGAATCTGATATCAATCCTTATGGCATGCCAGTGATCAAAGTGCTTCACTTTGAACCATCTGCACATATTCTGTGCTGATCCAGAAAGACTCAAAAGATTTTCTGAAAATGCATTTATTTTGCAAATAACATTGATATCAGAAGAAAAGGGCATATATATTATTGGGTTAGTGCATAATTATTAGGCGGTTTTGTAGGAGTTATTTGTTAATTGTCATTTTGTTTACTTTTCTTTAATAAAAATATTTTATATTCAGGTTATAAAAAATGCGTGTCAATAATCATACTCATATTCGTCATATTATGCTTTACCAATTTGAAAAAGGATGGAATGCAGTGCAGTTATTTCGCAATCTCAAACTTTTTGGCAAAGGAACAGTGAAAGTTGATGTAGGCAATGGTTTGCTTGTTTCAAAGCTGGCAACACTAGCTTGGAAGATAAGCCAGGAAAAGGTTGACCATCAGATTTCGACAATCAGGCACTTTTGGTAGACATGGAAGAGGATTAAAGCTTGACAACTTGAATGATGGCTGAAGACTTCAATGTGGACCATTCAACCATCATCTGTAGTTTTAAAAAGTTCGGAAAGGTATGGAAATTGGCTGGATAGGTCCCTCACAAACTCTTTGACAACAATAAATGTGCCAGAATTTTCACCGATTTGCTGCAACAAAATGAACAAGCTTCGTTTCTGAAGAATCTTGTCACTGGGGATGAATCATGGCTTCTCTTAAGAAAAGACAAGAGAAAGTCTGCGTTTTGCCAGGAGTTTCACCAAAAGGAATACTGAAAAACGTGTACTGTATGAAGGCATTGTGGTGTGTTTGGTGGGAATCATCCATTGGGAAATCATCTCAAACGGGATTTGTTATTAGAGGTATGATGATGAGTACCAACACTGGCAGATTCCAGACAAAAACAGCAAGTGGAAATTCAACATCAACAGTGATGTCTATCTGGCTCAACTTGTCCGCATTCATGCTGCAAATCAAGACTAAAAGCCTGTGCAAAAAGAGCCATTATTGTCTTCCACCATGATAATGTGAGTCTACATGTTGAGCATCATGTTGTTGAATGTATCACCAATAAGGGCTGGGAACTGCTTCCACATCCACCATATTCTCCCACAGAAACACCTATGAACTACCACATCAGTCAATCGCTGAAAAATTGGCAGGTGAAGAAAATTTATGCCGATTTGGATAACTTGGTGGCCATGTCAAAGCATGGATTACCTACAAGAACTGTGACTTCTTTGCCCATGGAATTGACCATCTTCCAAGCAAAAGGGAAGCAGTTATTGAAGTAGATAGTGACTACATTCTGAAATAATCATTTAAAAAATGTTATTGTTGAATTGCTGTGTTTCTTTTTTTCACAATAATATTGTTTAAGAAACGCCTGATAATTATGCACCGACCCAATAGATAGAAATTTACCACAGTAAAAGATGGGTTAATTATCTGAAAGAAAATTATAATTCAAAACTATCTGAAGAGTAAGTTATGAGCAAAAGACATGGATTTGTCTGACTCCTACTCTCAATGACTTTTGTATAATAAAAAAAAAAAAAAGATTTTAACTAGTTTGTCAATTCAGCCAAGCACCTTAAATTTTAAATTTGAAACTTGTTAAAGTGGATGTTATCTTCCATTCTTTTTAGAGATGGAGGAAAATAGTATAGAGAGTGGTTCATCTGATGCTGCAAAAGGTGAAAAGATATAAAAATGCATTAAATAAAATACAAATCATTTTTATACAAAGTTTAAGTAGAAGAGCATCAATTATTACCTTTTAACGAAAATCTTTACAAAATTCATCTTAAGAGAAATAATTTTTTTTTTTTTTTTTTAGAGATGGTTAAGAAATAGATAAAACTAAAAGAATAACTTGTTGATACTGTAACATTTTTGCTAATGTAGCACTAACAATTCTCACTAAATTAAAGGTTTCTTTCCAGTAATATAAAAGGCATTGAACAAATTTAAACCCCTATTTAAATGTTAATAAAATAGCATATTAGATACTTTAATATTTTAAAGTCTAGTGACCCGGCAAACATTAGTTGGTGTTTTCATCCACTCAAAATGAAGCTATTTTTGCAGTCATGCAATCTTCAGCCAAGATAAAAATTGCTGATTTAGCCTCCAATTTATAGATGAAGCATTAGAGTAAATTATTTTAACATTACATTCACTTGTCATATGTTGATTAAATGTTATGTCTTGTGTTTAACTATTTCCATCCACTTGTCAACAAGTAACATTTTAATTATTCATAGAATTTTTTTCACTGAATTTTATTGAGTTCTAAAATAAACATTAAAATTGTCATAGTTGAATACAAAAATTAAAATAGTAATGATAATTCCACACTGAAAATATCTTTTGTAGTCATGTTGTTAAGAGAGCTCAGAAGAGGAATTATGTCAAATTATTTTGGCCTTGATTTAAATAAATCTGAAATGTCCTTGATGTTGCTACAGAGATAATACTTTGTTTTTTTTTTTTTATTACTTGTGTAGATTAGAAACTGGATTATGAAACCGTGTTCAATTAAAAGACTTTAGTTTGCTATTTGTAGCAATAATTGCTACTTTAAACAGACAAGTGAAACCTTCTTTGAGAGTCTTGTATAAATATCAAGTTACTTATATAAAGAATTTTGCAAGATTTAAATCATATCATACAATGTATTAATCAAAAACTTTAAATTGATATACCCTGAATATACTTTAAATTTATTACCACCCCCAGATGGAGAGGAGGTGAAGAAAAAAAAAGGACCCTTAGAAATACATATCAAACTTGACATGGTAAAAGACAACTTGAAAACATTTATTCTAAAGAATATTTGATATGAATAAGAATAAAAGATTTTTTTTTTTTTTTTTTTTTTTCCACACTTAAACCTAGGTGGCAGGAAGAAAATAAAAAAGTAATTACCTTTCTTCCTACCCAGACAGGTATTCCGATAATAAGCGCAGGCACTGCAATACCAGCAAACAATGTTATTCCAATAGGGGCACCGATTAATGTACCCAATTGCCAAAGGATTTTCTTTTTGCGACTCCAAGGTTTCTTGCCCCAAAAAGTACATCCAGAAGGGCTGAAGAAAGAAAAAAAAAATAACCAAGGGATTAAAACAGATTTTGTTTAAGCTTTTCTATAAAAGAAAATGCTTTAGAAACAAAAAGGGACTCATTTTTACCAATTTGAGAATTAAAAGAACATGATGCATTAATTTTATCTTTGAAAACAGGGTAAGAATTTTTGAAAATAGAGAAAATTTGATATTTACTAACTCACTACAAAATACCAAGAAAATCATGATTTAAAAATAAAATAAAATAAAAAGCCTTAAAATATCTGACTAGGAGCAATAACAAAATTATGACAAGATTCTGCTTCAAATTTGATGTTTCATAAAGAAAGATTTAACAAAAAAAAAAAAAATATATATATATCTGGCCTTATCATTCACTAAGAGTAAAACAAAGCATTCCAGAACCCATCTTAGGGACCTTTTTGCTTTAAATATCATTAACAAGATTGTTTTTTCACTGGTGTTTGTGTAAACCAGAGGTTTAATAAGAATTAAAAAAAATCTGCATTTTCAAAATAAGTTTGAAATAAAGAAAAATTCTATGAAATCAAAATAAGCATTGAAATCTTTTTCACTCATTCTAATAGTTAGAAAAGAGATTAATGAGGAACATACTGCAAAATACATGAACAATAGCAAAGGATATTAATCTTAGATTGAGTAGCGATTATCAATTAAGTAGGGATAAGGAATTAAGCAGAGGATTATCAGGATTACTTCAATTGCTATATTGAGTGTGAGCAAATTCAGATGTAATGTAATACTTAGCAACTTTAATACAGTTGGTAATCATTACACAAAATTGCATTCAAATATTCAATTTTTAATTATTGTCAAGAAATTTTCACTATGCTCATTATCAATAGGAATCCACTTTTTATTCTTACAATCCTGCAAGAAATCCAACACGAGATTCAGATTCTTAACCTTATTAAAAAACTGACTGTCAATAGAATTTTAAAACTCCCAATATTAGAATCACTAATATTTTACTTTATTTTTTTTATTTTAAAAAATTTTTTTTTCTTTTCCCATACTAGATTCAGTCACAAATAAGTTAATTTAAGTTAGGTACCTCCACGAAATCGCTAAAAAAAAGCATAGCTTGATGAAAAAGACGCCAACCTTGCCGAAAACAAAATTTTATTGTCTAAATGCTTATGTTATTATTAAGAGGAAAGACCAAAGTTTTTTTTTTTTTTTAATTATTTTTAAAAAATTTTCCTTCTTTTTAGAACATTCTAAATTTTGATTAAAAAATCTTTTTTCTATTTGTATCAAGCGAACTAGTAAATAACAGACAATTTTAGCACGTTTTTTTGGTATGACACATTAATTTGAAAAAATCGTGCAAAAATAGAAATAATTATCGGATGTTAATGAAACTTTCAGGAACTATTCACAGATGATCAAAATTATTATAAATATGTTTTTTATGAAAGTCATGGTAAAATATTTTTTAAATATTTATTACCCCCCATAACTAATTTTATGAAAACGCTAGAAATTTGATCGCATCGGTTTTAGTGATTACAATAATTAAAAGCACAGGGCTTTGAGGAATGCAAATCATGTTTTTTTTTTTTTTTAATTGGATACGCAGTACCTGAAAATCAGCTCTGAATTGTAACATACAAAACTCAATAAAACAAAGATATTATTTAATTTCAAATGCTTTTATTTGCTTTTAGTTGTTTTTATGAATATGGACAATATTTTCTGAAAGCAAAAAAAATTTTTTCGATGAAAAATGAATTTTAATACAATTATTTGTTATTTCATTAATTATAATAGATTTTACATTTAAGTTGTTAAAATATTATAAAATTAGTTAAAAGTCAAGATCGGCTTTCATAAGTGTCCTTATGAGAAATCTTTTTTTTAGCGCGTTGTAAATTGTATCATTTTGACTAATCAGAAGATCCCCAGTAATTAAGAAATGTAATTTTGTGCTTATAATCGAGCTGTAATTATAAAATACGGAAGACCAACCAGAATATAATTAAGTTGCGTTATTTGAGTTAAGCATTGTTCTCCGCTGTTAAGGCCTTTACTTTTGTGAAACACGTGTTGAGAAGTTAATTTGATTTTTCAATTTCAACTGAGAAGGGTACCTACAAGTATCAGTATCATCTTATGAAATTTATATGATCTTATTTTTATATTAATCTCAGTTACGACATTTTTCCATAAATGAAATATCAAAATTAATAATAAAATGAATGCAAATACAAATAACAGTAGAATGTAATAAATGTACATAAAATTATAGTATTTTATGTACAATTCTGATAAAATTTCATAAGAAAGGTACCTATAAATTAATTAGATTAATTATGCTCTTTTTTTTAGTGATCTCGTGGACGTACCTAATTTAAGTATTTATTTTTGTATGTGCAAGCGTATATTTTGGCTTCTAATCACCTTTTTAGAGCCCCAAAAGAGCAATTTCTGCCAGGGGATTCCGTGTTTTACAAGAGAAATGACAGCAACAGGTGGTATAGTCCTGGCAAACTTATCAGATAAAATGGTAAAGTAGTTTCTATCAGGCATAGGAGTCAGTTAGTCAGAGTTGCAACATGTAGGGTGATAAAGACAGAAAATGGGACAGAATGTAAAGAATTAAAAACAAACAAAAGAAAGTGGATGAGATTCTTAGTGATGAATAAAAATGTTGATTATTCTAGAGAAGAGCATGAGATGGGAAGTATTAGTGACTGTATGTGAGATGAAGAGGAAATCAGTTTGGAAGAATGCACTAATAATGTACCACAGTTATATGGTAAAGAGGATGATTAGAGACAGGAAAAGCAAATGACAGGACCAAAAGAATCCCTGTCACAAAGTCAAAATGAAAAGAAAGATCACAGAGCTCCTAAAGTGAAAAAAAGAACAAAAAAAACATAACATTTACCAAAAAGTGAGGAGTGGATTTGTACACTGTGAACATGATAAATAAGTAATGTTGGGTGTGCATCTGGATGGAAGAACATGAAGTTGTGAAAGATGATGCAAACAATGACATTAAGAATGAAATTGAAGAAAAGAACAATAGACACACATTATAATGGGATCAGAGAAGATGGGTCTTCACGCATGAAAGAATAATAATGAAAACTTGGTCATCTACTTAGCCTGGAAGCCTCCAGTTTTAACAATTCCTTGTGCCACCAGATAAAGACTCCCCAAGCAGAGATAATGGAATTACTCCAGTGTAATAATTTTCACCAATATAAATTCATCCAGATCCACTGATGAATTGCAAGACAAAGTCTTTTTTGGACAGAAAGGACAATCATGAATAACAAAAAGCAAATATGGTCTTTATGCCAATGAGCAGTCATTGGAAATCTGAAGTCAATCAAAGCCAAAGAGCAGGATTTAAAGAATTGGAATATTTTTAATGTGTATAAGGAAATACAGAACAATGGTGAAAAGATGTTAACACATCAGGTAGTAATGGAAGAACTCTTAGTTAAAAGAAAGTAAAATCAAGATTGGTTGTAAGAGATTTTGAAAATAAAAGATGATTCAATCAGTCTCCAACTGCTAAGTTCACATTTTGAAGAGTCTTGGTGAAAGCTGCAAATGAAAGATGAAGATTTGAAACAATTGACAGTAAAGTTTCATCTTTACAGGGGCAAACAGCATGATAGATATATTTGTCGTGACACCTAGAGAAGTAAAGGAAACTAAATGGAAGCTAAACAAAGCAGTATATGAACTTTGACATCTTGAAATCAGTACATCAGTGTAAAGGATAACATTATTAGAATAGATTATAAGCAATCATAGTTGGATAAAGTCCTATTTGGATGGTATAACAATGAGAAATTAAAAAGCATATTTGTGATATGTGTGGATGATTTCCTATTTGCTGGAATTAATGTTGAAACCAAAAAGAATATCATTAATCCTATTGTAAGAAGACAGAGGGTTGGAAAAAGGTCGATAGTGAATTTATGTTGGTTTAAATGTATCACAAGAGAAGTAATCTAATTCAAGTAAACCAGAATGCTGCAGAAATGAAGGAAATTCCAGTTTCTGTGAGTAGAAGGAATGATAGAACACCTCCACTAAACAATGAAATGCAAACCTTAAGTGCTACAGCTGGTCACTTGAATAGGCTATCCACGCAAAAACGACCAGACTAGAGTTAGGATTTATTAGAGCTGAACATGTCCAGGCAGCATTGAACAGTTGAATAATTACCAAGTGCTAACAAAACACCCCTCCAAGCTAAATAAACTCAAATGAATATTTGCTTTCCAAACCTTGTTAGCTTCAAAGAATGGATGTCTTCTGTGATGCATCATGGAGCAATCTAGCAGATGCATTTTCTGGTGTACAGGGTTACATATATCTTGGATATCAAACAAAATTAAATACAAGGTGTCCAGCAATTTGGCAGCAGAAACACAATGCATGATGCAATGGATGAAGCCATTTATCTTGGTAGTCTCATCGAGATATCTTATTTACTTTATAGCTGTTATAGTATAACTATTACTATATACACAGACAACAGATCTCTGCACCAAAATATTCACTCTACAAAGCAAGTCCATGAGAAATGTTTAAACTAATATTGCCGAAATCCAGGTAATGATCATCCAGGGAGAAATGCTGTCTACAGAATGGGTCTAGACTATTGGAAGGAGGTTGCAAGTAAATAACTAGTTTGTAAGCTACCTGGGTAAAACTTTGCCAGTTGTAACTAATTTATTCCTGTTATACTAATCTAACATCTAATGCTATTAGTTTCAGAAGAGCATGGAAGTATAGGGAAGCAAGAAAGAAATCTAGTTCTGTAGCTAAATTTGAAGGACTTATTGGTTAACTTATGCTGTTTAATGGGTAAGGCACTGTTACAGCGAGACAGGTTTCCAAGAAGGAGTACAAGATTGATAAAGAACCTACTTAAAAAAAAAAAAAAAAAAAAAAATGAAGGATTAATATATGCAATCTCTGAACAGGCATATAAATTGATACACTACATTGTT